TAAATATGAATGTACAGTGCAGTGTGTCAAAGTTGCTTAAACAAACTGTAGAACAGGCTAATAATGACGTCAGTGCCACATTTTATTGAAAACTTGAGTCTTTGCGCAAGAGGTGAGGTCCATGCTGGACATGTAGAGACAAAACGAGGCACTATTTAGAGTTTCCAGTCAAACTGGCATGAATGATTCTGGTAAGTGGGAGAAAACTGGAGTACCAGAATGTTTTATTAGAAACTTCTTGCACTCACTGCAAAACGTTTGCACATGAAAGCTGCAGAAAACGTGTGATTATTTAAATAAAAATGGCCCAGGTTCATTGTTTTTAGGTCAAGTCCTAAGGAGTCACTTAAGAAGGGCTGAAGAGCCACAGGCTGCATACCCCTGGTTTAACCTCTTTAGCTAAAGTTTAGCGTTAGCAAACAGACCAGTAGTCTTCTTTTTTTTTTTTTTTCCTGAATGAGGTCAAACAGGAGCGGGGAGATTCCAGTGCACCCATATTTAGGAATCACCAAGTCGGTATTTAGTAAATGTAGAGTAAAGCACAGCGCTGTTATCTGAAGTTGTGCTTGTGCATTCACAACTATTTCTTTTTCGTTTGTCGGCAGCAACCGAGACCGTGGAGGGGTTTCACTCTTCAGGAATTCTCCTGGGTTGGAGTATCTTTTGCACGATCAGTGTCCACCATCGATGTCCGCGCTGACTTCCAGACACCCCCGCCCGCCCCCCGCAGTCCTAAACCACCCCACAACGGACAAGAAACGGAGAGTGACACTCAGCGGAACTCATAAATGGATGTTTCTGTATAAGAAGAAGGCAGGGAAATAGAATTTATTTTGTTAAATAACTGCACAGACTGGAGGGTGAAGATTTGGGGCGATGCTCCACAACACTCCAATAACCCCCCCCCCCCCTCCCCTCCTAAAGGTTAGAAGATATCACATATCTGATGGTGGAGTCAAGTGATGAGTGCCACTTTTTTTTTTTTTTCCTTCTTCACCTCCTCTGGTGTGAGAGGACCTGAAGCGATGGGACGCTGACCTGATCACCCCGGTGTCGAGTGCCTTTCCAAAACAAATCAGCTCTTCAGATTTTGTGCCAACCTACACGTGTCACCAAAACAACCCTTCAACATGGCGTCCACGCGCTACCGAGAACTTTTCTCATGGATAATCTTGTAAAGGTGGAGGCTGAAAACAAATAAACACACTATAGGCTTTTTGTTGTTGTTAAAACGGTGGACTTGTGTACGTTTTACGTCGGCCTTTCTTTCGTTCGCTCCGTCTGGACAAATCTATATGTTGAAATGCACAGGTACTGGATCCACCTCAGCGTGACGGCAGTAAACAACACTTTACCTTCCAGACCAGTTGCGTCAAAGGAATTTATTTTGTTCTGTAGTTTTATTTTATTTTGTTGTTGTTGTTGTTTTTTTTGTTTTTTTTTTTTACAGGAAATGTGATTAAGTGTTGATGACAAATCTAACCTGATTGTAAGTTGAATTTTCAGACACGCCGTTCAACAGTGAGCTGTCTGTTTTAAAGACAAGACTTTTAATACAAATTGCATTTTGTTTAAAAAAAAAAACCCACGCTGAGCTGCGTTTTCTTTCTCAACGTCCTCTTTGTTTCCGTGTAGTCACTGCCGCGTCGTTTACCATATGTTTTCGGATTATAAGGCGCATTAAACAAAACGGATAAGTCAAATTTTATTCAACTCCTCACTACAACGTCATAAAATCGGTTCGAGGGCAGTACCAGAATTAATACATAAGGCTCACCGTCGGTTTTTGAGACAATTAAAGGATTTTAAGTGCGCCTTGTAGTCTGAAAAATACGGTAAATTGGAACAGCACTTTTCAATACAAAAATGGCAGCCGAACTTGTAACCCTCAGGTTACGAGTGCTAATACGGACGTATATAAAGTGTGCACAACTTTAATCTGATGGGGGGTGGGGTGGGGGGGGTGGACCAATCTACTTAAAACAAGCTCGTTTTTCACTTCAAAACCCGATGTTTATTGCTGCTGCTGAGGCATGCCCTTTTGTCTGTTTCTAACGCTGAAGCCACGGTGATGCAAAGTCCCAGCACAGGCTGTTATGACTAGTTCACAAAGTGAGATGAAGAACTCGGCCTTGTTCGTGTGTGGCAGAGTTTATGACAGGAGGTTTGAGGTCGGTCTGACCGCTACACCCAACAGGTGCTCATGTAAAGAGCTTTAAGTTCACAAAATCTACTCGCCCTCATGTTTTATCAGACCAGCTCAAGCTCTAGATGCAGCAGTTAGAAGCTGGAGCTGCAGCGTGTGTGGGTGCAGTAGTGTGATGTGCAGAGGCAGGAAGAACCCGGCGGGCCCGCCGCTCTGCTTCTGTTTACCTACAAGGATTACCTCGACCCGGCTGGCTGGGTCGGCCGCAGCATTGCTCAGGGGGAACAGAGTAAACAAACGCAAGACGAGCTTCAAATCGAGTCCAGCGTGTCTAAGAATGGTTATGTGCTGGTTCTGTGTGTGTGTCCGAGAAGGCTTGGGTGTCCGTGTGTGTCAGCCTGTGCAAGCATCGGTATCGTATGTATTCTTTGGCTGTGCCTGCACCGTGTGACTGCAGAGCACGTGGGAGGGTCGGGAGGGTTGTGTTCAACAGGTGCATTCAAATGATACAAGCAGTTTGACCCATTCCTAATGTGTGTGTGTGAATCTTCCAACACTATTTGCCAACTTTCTCTGTTTGGAAAAAAAGAGGCAGCGTTTGCACGTTCGAACACGCACGGCGAGTTTCTCTCAATCCTTACAGCTGAAACGATGGGCCCGCGTCGTCATTTTGTCTTTCTGTGCCGAGGAGCTTTGTTTTTGTGCAACTGTTGATAGCAGCTCCCAGATCCTCCTCGCAATCCCTCGCAAGTCACGTCTACTTTCCAGCTGTTATCTTTGCAAAGCCTAGGCTAAGGGCATGTTTCCTCCAAGGCCTTCATGCAGATTGTGCGATCAGGCAGCTACGCCGCAGGAGTCTGCTCTTAAAAAAAAAAAAAGACGACTGGTGGTAGATAAGAGGGGGAAGTTTTTACAGCTATGCCCCAGTTACTGTAAAGTGAACCCCCCTCTGCTGCTGCTCAGTTTGAGTCTTGCTGTGGTATAAACAGAATTTACACTTTGGAGAGGAAAAGAGGCTTTTTGAGTTCCTGTTTCTTTTTATCCGTCTCTAAGACGCAAAAAGGTGAAAGTTGCACTTCCTGATTTCTTTCCATTGCACAACAGAGCACTGGTACCATCTCTGTGTGTGCTATTTGTAACTCTTTTTGGCCTTTCGACGCTTTGAACGCTGTCGTTATTCAAATATTCAATCTGACATGTTGCTTCCATGTGTTTTACAGCTGCTTGAAAGTTTCGGTGTGTTTCAGTAGCGGCCAACAGTAAACCAGTGAAGTGCTGACTCGCCTGGCTTGTCAGTGGTGGTTGATCACAAGGAGATGGTCATGTGAAGCAGTTGCCATGGTTTAGGTGTTGGGGGGGGGGGGGGGGGGGTGGATGTGGTATGGGCGCTCACGGTGGCCTCCAGGAGTTCAGTTGCTGCTGGAATGGTGACTGGTTGAGAAGGGGAGGGTTGTTTGATCGTCTACATATTTGCCACCGACATAAACACTGCGTGACATCATGACAGGAGAGATCTGTCTGATCGAGGGGAATTTACACATTTGGAAAGAGTTGGAGGAGTGTGCACAGCTGCCTTAAACGCACACAAATGGACTGTATATAGCACTTTTTTTCTATCTTATCAAGATACTCAAAGTGCTTTACAATCTGTGCCCTCATTTACCCATTCATACTAGGCCTATCGCAATAAATCAGTTAATCGCATGATGAATGAAAATTATCGACCTCATTTTCATTTATCAGCTTTATCATTTCTTGGTTTCTCTCTCTTTCTACTGAAGACACTGGATGATCAAAAGGCTCAACTCTGCTGCTCTTCACTGACCCCTCCCTTTCTCCTTTCTCTTTAAAATCCGTTTTAGCTGTCCAAAATCACATTTTTGGATCATTAAAAGCAGTTAAGCTGAGAAGCTAAGCTAACAGGCCGACCTCGGGGTGGTAAAAAACCTCAGTCTTGTCGAAGCTCCAAAATTCATGGTTGAAACCTGTGCCTTCATCTAAAAAGTTGTTTTTCTCTACAAAAAGAAGCTGAGAACTTGTTTACTGATATTTTTTTTAAGCTTTTGTGTGACAAATGTTATGCTAAAGAGCTCAAACCACACAGAGCGTCTGCCATTTTGAGAACTGAAAAACAGGAACGAGAGACCGCCCATGTCACGTCAAGGGGCCTCCCTCCCATTTTTCTTAGAGACACGCTACTCGCTCCCTCACTATCCATCCTTCGGTTCGAACAGTCTTGTATGGCCATTGGTGGTCAAAAAAAGGTACTACACAAAAAATAAACCAAAATTTCTTCATAAATTTGACAGTTACTAATTATTGTCAAATTTCAAACAATATTATCGTTAATCGCAATAATTTCTGAGACAATCCGCCAACAAAATTTGTTATCGAGACAGGCCTAATACATACAGCATTATCTGTACAACGAATAATCAGTGCTGTATCACATTCAAACACCAATGGGACACGCATCGGAGGCAATGAGGGGTTCAGTGTCTTGCCCAGGGACACTTCGGCATGTGACTGCTGCTGGAATCGAACCCCCAACTCTTCCATTGGAGGATGACTGCTCTAACCACTCAGACACAGCCGCTCAGAAAGCTGACTTCTGCTAATTTAAACATAAAAGGAAACGGTTAAATTTGTCTTTTAATTTTTTTGCTGTTGCTCTGACAGGAAGTGTTGCAACAGTGAGAGTGGTGGAGTGTGTTTGCATCGCCCCCACACACACTGTTTTTTAAAAAAATTTTATTGGGACTTAATCACTATCTATGCTCCGTAGTGAATTACAGGCTTCTCTTTCTATCCAGGCGTCATCGTGCTATTTTTTGAGGCACCCCGTGTTCAACAGTGGTTTTACCTTTTTTCTTCATTTTTGAACCACGTTCTGCTGTTCTTGTCTAAATCCTGTTCTTTAAATTTCATTCAAATCTAAAAAAATTAGCATTATTTGACTGGTTTTATCCTCTTTTGTTTCTTTTTCAAGCATCACCATAACAATACGAGGAATATCCATTTTCACCTCGTTTTGTTTTCCCCTTAAAGGTTGAATGAGCTTTGTTTTTGCACTCACACATGAACCCACACGGACACACTGCAGTTAACCTATTGTGCTCATAACACGGTGCAGTTTGGATTCCTGCAGCATTCCAGCACCTGATGTTTGTCCAGAGACACAGACAGCAGAGACAGCACTCAGTTCCTACGTTGTTAGTCGTTTTATTTTTACAGGACCAGACCTGATAGTTGTTTTTTTTACCTACAATGTAATAAGAATTATTTGGAAGTTGGAGCAATGGTGACCGGCAGTCAATCAGCTTCTCTTTAAACCAGGGAGTGGTTTTCACACTTCAAGTTGACTGTGCCAAGATGGGAATGCCCTGGAATTCCTCTCATTCCTGCCATTCCTTCAGCTGTAATGCCTGGACATGTCTTCAGCCTGAGTTGAAAGAGTACATGGCAGACAATTGGGTTATTGTCAAATATGTTATAAATGTATTCTGTATGGAAACTTCATTGCTGCATTGGCCCTTCATGTATGAACTTAGGTTTATTATATGCAGAATCGACACAAGGTCAACGATGCAATGAAATTCTTAGGACGAGAAGAACCATCTCGACTCGCCTAAACAAAAAAGAAATGTCAAAGCATGCAACAAAAATGCAAAAATAAAGTGCGAAAAATTAACTATCTACAGCAACATGGTCCTATTAGCAGAGTGGCTCTGTTGGCAGTGAGGTTCTCTTAGCAACATGGTCCTGTTAGCAGCATAGTACTGTGATACAGTTAAGCAGTGTGGTTCTGTTAGCAGCATGATCTCGTTAGCAGTATGGTACTAACAGTGGGGTTCTGTTAGCAGTGTGGTCCTGTTAGCAGCGCAGTACTGTTAGCAGTGTGGTTCTGTTAGCGG